TGGGAACTGCTGAGTCTTGAGGGGTCACAATAAGGACTGAGGTCAAACTGGGTTATTTGGTAGAATTTTTAAGCTCTCAGTTAACCCTCCTAACCCTGTTTGCTCATTTTGTAATATGAGACTACCACGAACATCACTCACGAAAGAATTGTTTTTGCTTTAGTTCTTTCTGTTGTGTTCCTCACGAAAGTATGTTTTAATTCAGGTGCCAAGTCTAGTGGTGGCAGAGAGGATTCTGAGTCATCTGGACCCCAGAGAAGGAACTCTTCTGAAGCGAATGCTGGAGACTTCTTAGATCTGAAGGTCAGTGTGACAACATGGGGGGGAAAAGGGCTTTGAGGTTAATACAGTTTAGAAATTCACTTCTCTCCTATTGTACGAAGAGCTTCAGTTCCACCACTGGAGTCTCACATAGAGGTAATTAGGAAAGGGACTGAGGCCATATTGGGAATGGAAGATCAATAAAGAATAAAGTCAGAAAAGTGAGGTGACATATCTAGGTTTGTTCAGATGTCTCTTCTACCAGTAGGATTAGTCTCTCTCCTTCACTGTTGATTTTGGGAACTTCTGGATCACACTTATTTCCTGTGTAACTCATATGTAATAGCATTTGTGAGTTCAGACTGTTTTCGTTGTTGGCAAACATTGCCCAATTGTTTTGAGCCGAACTCCAGGAGAACTGCAGCCTGGGCGTTACCCTTAGGTGTCTGCAGAGGAGCATGGTCCCAATGCCCCCAGGGATGTGTCTAGAAACCTGTGAGCAGGGACCTCAGAGCACACAGAGGCATTAGCTGTGCAAATGTGGAGAGACCTCTGTGGGGCTTTGCAATTTATAGAGCCCCTTCAGCAACTGGATAAGGAGAGGGAGAATGGAAGGATAAATTTACCAGTTTCCCATTCTGATAAAAGATCCTCTGAAATGCTCATTGAATTAGGCCATTGATGGAAATGTTCATGTTTTTTGGTGTGTTGGATATTGCTGGCACTGGGGCAACTTGTCCTGCAGCATTTTTGTTCAGCCTCGTCCCAAAGTAAGTAAAGGTCGTAATGTAATTGTTTTGTGTCCTGACCCTGGACTTGACTGCATCAAAATGAAATTTCACATTTGGTTTCAAATATATAGTAGCCTGTCAGAACTGTGACTACTTTATTTGTTTGTTATAAAATTAAAATCTGGCATAAGTTTTGAGGGGCACCTGGCCGGCTCAGTCAGAGGAGCATGTGACTCGATCTCAGGGTTGTGAGTTTGAGCCCCATGTTGGGTGTAGAGATTACTGAAAAAAATTAACTTTAAAAAAAGAAAAATAAAAACTGAAGTAAATTTTAAATTTCTTTTCTTTTCTAGGGAGAAGGCGACATTCATGGTGAGTCTTCTGAAGCCCAAATTTCTGGTTCTGTAAATGGTTTTAGCATAGATTGGAATTTTTACTGAAATCATGTCTTGGAGAAAGAGACTGGGGAGTGAAACCTGGCTTTGCCCCAAGTGCCGGCACACACTGAGTTGGGAGGAAAGAAAAATGAAACTGGGAAGTTAGCAAACATGGCCACGTTTGCATCTGCCACAGTGAGAGCAACGTCAGAAATGCACCAGAAAGGAAAAACAGAGAGTCTTTCACAAATATGTGTACAGTAGTCAGGCTGGTGTCTGTTGTTCTTAATGAGAGCTTTTTAGTAATAAGGTGCTGGCATTTCAAGCTTGGCCCACAGCATTTAATTTGCCAAGTTTGTTTGATTTTATGCTGAGGTGCTTATTCAGCAAGACATCGGTCGGTACCTCTGTGATCTTGTAGATGATGATTTAGGGGGCAGATGTAAATTCTCAGCATCCATGTTACCAGTTAGATGTGGAAATGAGCTATAATCATTTATTTAATGATGTTCAATCTTTGAAGTATTTATTGGAACTTCCTTAACAAGTGCCAGAGAATTACTTCTGCATGTAATGAAAGGCTCGTGCGTGTCAGGCAGTAGGAATCAGGTGAAAGTTGACTCAGTGAAATGCAGCTGTCCGAAGTCCGTCTGGTCCAGAAGGAAGAGGCTGCTTCCTCAGGGCCTCTTTCTACTATTACATTTTGTGAGGCAGTCATCCTGTGAAATAGGTTTAAGAACCAGATTCCTCTTCTGCCCTCTCAGACGATGTTTCTTTTCTTTTTTAAAGATTTTTTTGGGGGCGCCTGGGTGGCTCAGTCGTTAAGCGTCTGCCTTCAGCTCAGGTCATGATCCCAGGGTCCTGGGATCGATCAAGCCCCACATCGGGCTCCCTGCTCGGCGGGAAGCCTGCTTCTCCCTGTCCCACTCCCCCTGCTTGTGTTCCCTCTCTCGCTGTGTCTCTCTCTGTCAAATAAATAAAATCTTTAAAAAAAAAAATAAAGATTTTTTTTTTAAGAGAGAGAGTGAGCAAGAGAGCACGAGCGGGAGGAGGGGCAGAGGGAGAGGGAGAAGCAGATGCCCTGCTGAGCAGGAAGCCTGACCCGGGGCCTGATCCCAGGACCCTGAGATCATGACCTGAGCCAGAGGAAGAGGCTTCACCGACTGAGCCACCCAGGCACCCCTCAGACAGTGCTTCTTGTTGGGCATGGTGGGAGGAGAGTCTCCTGAACCTTTGTGAGCATTACCTGGGTTCCTCCTCGGTGCCCAAGTCACTGTCTCACTGGACTGAAGATGAATTTGTTATTGTTCGTGTCCAGTGTGTTCCGTTTGCAAAGACTCTTCTGGAGGTAAAGAAATCTTCAGGGCTTTTCAGTTTTGCTGCTTTTCATCTTCTGAAATACTTCCACATCAGACCTTACTTAGCAAGAATCAGCTAATCCTTAGTCACTACTTTTGGACAGTGGATATAGTTAGAAGTCTGGGGAGCCTGGTGAAATATGTGAGAGCCCCTGATGAAATTAGGAAAAAAAATGTGTCATTATTCCTGCTAATAATAATTCTCCCCCAGTTCAGTTTGTTATAGATTGTTCAGGTGAACAGCCCCCTGCACTGAATAGTATGACAAGCCTTTACTTTTAGTTCATTTGTCGTGAGGTGACAAGGGGCATAAGAATTCAAGATCCATCTGGTGGCGTAGAGTCCTGCTGCCAAGCTACTTTGAAGTCAAGCTACTCTACTCAGTTTATTTTTTATTTTTCTTCTTTCTACTCAGTTTAAATAAGACAGATTTTGTTTGGACATAAGGAAAATTGCCTTCCTCTTTTGGGGAATGAAATACAGGAATGGCTAAAGGAAGCATGTGGGAAATCTGTAGCAGAGGGAGAAGGTCCACGGGATTTAGGTCGAAGTCTTTCCCGCCTTTAGGCAAGTTGGACAGTCGGCTGCACTTCTTGATGTTCTAATTCTTTCATTCTTATAATAAACCACTATATCATTTATTCTGATGTAAGTATCTGTTCAGTGACCTCATTGATGTGCCAAGGAAGAAAGACAAGTCAGGAGTATTTAAGATAGGTATTATAGTAGAAGTGTTTGTGTTTATTTTTTTTATTATTTTTTAAAGATTTTATTTATTTATTTATTTATTTATTTATATGAAAGAGAGAGAGATAGGGAGTAGGAACACAAGCAGGGGGAGTGAGAAGCAGGCCTCCCGCTGAGCGGGAAGCCCGATGCAGGGCTCAATCCCAGGACACCGGGACCATGACCCGAGCCGAAGGCAGACGCTCAATGACTGAGCCACCCAGGCGCCCCAAAGATTTTATTTATTTGAGAGAGAGAGAGATGGGAGGGAGGGGCAGAAGGAGAAGCAGACTCCCTCCTGAGCAGGGAGCACGATGTGGGGCTCAACCCCAGAACCCTGGGATCATGACCTGAGCCAAAGGCAGACGCTTAACTGACAGAGCCACCCAGGCGCCCCAGTGTTTGTGTTTAAAGTCCCATTTTTCAGTTATTAGATTCAACAGACAAAAGCTTTCTCTGTCAGGTCCTGTGTAAGTTTCTAAAGCCTTACTCTTAGTGCCTGTACTTGCCTCATTATAGACTAAAGGGATGGAGTAACAGACTAGCTTCCGTTCTTTCCGGCTGGAGTATTTCTGACTAGACAAAGGAGCATTTAAATTAAGGCCTGCTCTTTATTCTCCATATGTGCCTTTTTTTTTTTTTCCTTTTTCACATGTTATCTAGTCATGAAAGACAAAACTTTTTTTTTTTTTTTAAGATTTTATTTATTTGACAGAGAGATAGAGAGCACAAGTAGGCAGAACAGCAGGGGCAGAGGGAGAGGTAGAAGCAGGCTGTCCGCCGAGCAGGGAGCCAGACATGGGGCTCGATCCCAGGACCCTGGGATTATGACCCAAGCCGAAGGCAGCCGCTCAACCAACTGAGCCACCCAGGTGCCCCCAAAACTGTTCCGTTAATAATGAAAGGCAAATGGGTGCCTGGGTGGCTCAGATGGTTAAGCGTCTGCCTTCGGCTCAGGTCATGATCCCACGGTCCTGGGATCGAGTCCCGCATCGGGCTCCCCACTCAGCGGGAAGCCTGCTTCTCCCTCTGCCTCTCTCTCTCTCTCTCTCTGTCTCTCATGAATAAATAAATAATCTTTAAAAAAAAATAATGAAAGGCAAATATAAGATTGGTGGGTGTGAGCTTGATTTATCTAAAAATCATTTTATGGAGGGCTACCTGGCTGGCTTGGTCAGTAGAGCATGAGACTCCTGATTTTTTTTTTTTTAAGATTTTATTTATTTATTTGACAGAGACACAGTGAGAGAGGGAACACAAGCAGGGGGAGTGGGAGAGGGAGAAGCAGGGACTCGATCCCAGGACCCCGGGATCATGACCTGAGCCGAAGGCAGACGCTTAACGACTGAGCCACCCAGGTGCCTGAGACTCCTGATTTCGAGGTCATGAGTTTGAGCTCCATGTTGGGCATGGAACCTACTTAAAATAAAAAAAAAATGATAATAAGGATGTGAGGGCAATCTGGCTGCGACATCTGTCACCCCATTGATCGCCAGGGTTGATTCGGCTGATCTGGCTAGCAAGGCAGGTGTCCCCTTCCTCCCTCACCACTCCATGTGCGTCCCTCCCGAAGCTGCACGCTCGGTCGAAGAGGACGACCTTCCCCGACAGAGGAGGACTATTCTTCGGTCAAAGGTATACGAGTAGTTGTGCTCCCCTGCTAGACCCTCCAAACAAGCTCTCAAGGTCCATTTGTTAGGAGAACGTAGGGTAGTCAAGCTTTGAAGACTCTAGACACATCCAACTGAGGCGCTGCACGTGGCAGTCAGCCTTTCTAAAAAATATAAAAATTTAAAAAAAGATAATAAAATAAAAATCACTTTATTGGAGGGGCACCTGGCTGGCTCAGTCCATGAAGCAGACAATTCTTGATCTTGGGGTTGTGAGTTCAAGCCCCACGTTGGGTGTGGACATTACTTGAAAAAAAAAAAGTCTTAAAAAAATAAAAATCATTTTATGGAAATTTTATGGAAATAAATGACCACAGTAGAGGTGCAAGGTAATGTTGTGTCCTTTAGTAGTACTCCTATAACTGCCTGATCCAGACAGACAATGGGGAACTGTTAGAGCATGTGTAGTGGTGAGGCCAAGTCCTAGCAGCAGCAGCAAAACTGTTTAAATCAATAGGCTGGTTCAGGTGGAATTCATGCTCTGTATTTGACCATCTTGGATTGTTTCAGGATGTCAGTTTTTGGGTTTTGTTTGTATTTACAGTAAATGGGACATATTTAAGTCCTTATCAGAGGACTTGGGTAGTTAATTTTGATGCATTTGATCCTGCTTCTTGTGCAACAAGAATGTGGCAATGGGAAACGGCGGGGGGGGGGATGACCCTTTCTTGCTACACTGTTGTTTATAACTACAGGGCTGTCATTTTGGAAAGCTTCATACTGATTTTTACTTGTAGTTGGTAATAGTATAGAACATTGTATGTGTTATGTTACCTCTATAGAATGTTCCAAATTTTCATAAAAGGTCAGAAGCAGAAGTAGCATATTTCTGAGTTGTTTTTTTTTTTTTTTTAAGATTTTATTTATTTATTTGAGAAAGAGAAAGCACGAGCAGGGGAGAGGGGGAGAGGGAGGAGCAGGCTCCCTGCTGAGCAGACCTGAGCCGAAGGCCCACGCTTAACCCGTTGAGCCACCCAGGAACCCCTATTTCTGAGTTTTTTGTTGAGTTTCCGATCTTAAACCTCTTCCCCCTTGGACTTCTCAATATTGAAGTTGGCTAAACCAAAAACTTGGTACAAGTGGTTTTAGGAATATGAACTTTTAACGGTTAGTCTTTGAGGGACTTAAAGTACATTTTTTCAACATCAGAACAGTACATTTTTTCAACATCAGAACTTTTCACTGGTGTCCAGTATGAGTCCATGTGACGTTCTTGGATTATAACTAGTTATTTCTCTTCTATTGCTTCCAGGGTTTTGGAACTCCTAAATCTAGGGGAGGGAATAAATGTCTTTAAACCTTAAGGTAGTTTTCTTTCAGGTTTTATGAATTAGTATTTGATTTCTTACACTAAAGGTGCCTTTGTGTGTATGTGTAAGAAAGAATGAGAGAGAGAGAGAGATTTTATTCTAGAGCAGGTGTTAGAATATGCAACTGAATTGAATTTGGTAGTTTAACACTGAAATGAGACCTGGCATTTTGCAGGCACTTTTGACTTGGAACAAAGACTTTTCCATGTTTGGAAACTGCCTCATGAAGAATATATGTTTGGGGGCGCCTGGGTGGCTCAGTCGTTAAGCGTCTGCCTTCGGCTCAGGTCATGATCCCAGGGTCCTGGGATCGAGCCCCGCATCGGGCTCCCTGCTCAGCGGGAAGCCTGTTTCTCCCTCTCCCACTCCTCCTGCTTGTGTTCTCTCTCTCGCTGTCTCTCTGTCAAATAAATAAATAAAATTTTTTTTAAAGATTTTATTTATTTGAGAGAGAGAGAATGAGAGACAGAGAGCATGAGAGGGAAGAGGGTCAGAGGGAGAAGCAGGCTCCCTGCTGATGTGGGACTCGATCCCGGGACTCCAGGATCATGACCCGAGCCGAAGGCAGTTGCTTAACCAACTGAGCCACCCAGGCGCCCCTAAATAAATAAAATCTTAAAAAAAAAAGAGAGAGAGAATATTATGTTTGTTGGGAATTTCACAGATTAGTGGATCATCAAGCAAAGTCTAGGATGTTGGTAATAATGCACTAATTCTCAAGACTTTGACATGGAAAGTACCCAGTTAATATAAATGGGAATGACCCGATTAGTGGAGATATTATAAGTCAGTAGGGGAAAGGTAGATCTTTAATAAATGATGTCAGTACAATGGATTATCTTTGTGGTTAGAAAAAGAAATCAAGGGGCGCCTGGGTGGCTCAGTCAGTTAAATGTCCAACTCTTTCTTTTTTTTGTTTTGTTAGAGAGAGCACACGCAGGCGACTCCAGATCTCAGCTCAGGTCTTGATCTCAGAGTCAGGAGTTCCAGCTCCACATTGGGCTCTGCTCTGGGCGTGGAGCTTACTTGAAAAGAAAAATCAAGCTCACCTAGTAATCATGGAAATGTAACACCAAACAGGAATGAAATAACATCACCCATTAGTTTGTCAAATTTTATTTATTTTTTAAATGGTATTTTTTTTTAAACATTTTATTATTTGACACAGAGAGAGAAAGCACAAGTAGGCAGAGTGGCAGGCAGAGAGAGAGGGAGAAGCAGGCTCTCCACTGAGCAGGGAGCCGGACGTGGGGCTCAATCCCAGGACCCCAGGGATCATGACCTGAGCTGAAGGCAGCCGCTTAACTGACTGAGCCACCCAGGCGCCCCAGTTTGGCAAATTTTAAAGTGAGGTGGTTATCAAATGGTGGGTGCGCAAAGCTGTACAGACAGTGTACTCTGACGTAGGTTGGGGGTAGAGCACAGGACAGCCTCTTGGGAGATGATGTGCAGTGTCTATTCATATTGAAGATGGGAGCCCTTGTATCCCTGTGGGCACCTGCTCTAGACTATCTACGTTACAGCTTTGTTTGGAATGATTGGGTTGGTTCCAATTTTTTGCTATCAGTAGAGCAAATACAATACTATATTATGTCAAACATATGGATAGACTCTGTGATACAATACTATAAAGCAATTAAGGTGAATTATGACTATGCGTATAAATGGGTAAATTTCTAAGAGTGTAAATAAAGGAAGTTTGTATCATTTTTGTCAAATAAAACAAAAACAAAAAACAGGAGTATGTATTATCTGTTGGGAATAAAATATAAATATTCATTAAACAAAGGGACTAGACACAACTCCACAGTAGGCACTCTGGAAGTTGAGAGAAGAGACACCTGTGGAGGTATATTGGGGGGTCAGGGGCCTATAGCTTATCTGTAATGTTCTTTTATTTTAGAGAAAGAGAGTGCAGTGGGGAGGGGCAGAGGGAGAGAGAATCTCAAGCAGACTCCCTGCTGAGCACGGAGCCCCATGTGAGGCTTGATTTCAAGACCCTGAGATCACAACCTGAGCCAAAATCCAGAGTCAGACGCTTAACCGACTGAGCCACCCAGGTGCCCCACTTATCTGTAATGTTCTAATTTAAAATACTTACATCTTCAGGACACCTGTCCCTCCCCCTGCACTCTCTCTCTAATAAACCTATAAAAAAAAATAAAATACATCTTCATATATGTGTATAATTTAGAAAACATACACAGAAAAAGGCCTGGGGACAAATATGACAAAAGACCTAACAGTGGGAGTTGTGGGAACATGGTTGAATGACTTTTGCCTTCTTTAGGTATGATTTGGTATCTCCAGGTATGATTTGAACCATCATCCAAGAAAATCTTAAGACTTTTCGTCTTACCTGGAAATAGTTGTTAGCCTTAACTTCCTTCTGTTTTCCTAGAAAACGTGGACACAGACTTGCAGGCCAGCCTGGGGCAGAGTGAGGAGAAGCCCGTGCCCGCTGCCCCTGTGCCCAGCCCAGTGGCTCCGGCCCCGGTGCCATCCCGAAGAAACCCCCCTGGTGGCAAGTCCAGCCTCGTCCTGGGTTAGCTCCGATTCTCTTGAACTCTGTCGTTTTGTTTGTTTGTTTTCTCCATGCTTGTGAACTGCACAACTTGAGCCTGACTGTACATCTTTTGGATTTGTTTTCATTAAAAAAGAAGCACTTTATGTACTGCTGTCTTTTTTTTTTTTTTTTTTTTTCAAAGAACAGGTTTCTCTTTATCTGTCCTGATTCCTCTGGGTCTGTAGGCCATGGCATGAGTGTTTTCTAGTAGTAGATTGGAGGGAAAGTTTTGTGACACTTAGTACAGTGTTTTTAAGAACAATTTGGTTCCAAATGTGTTAGAGGATCTTTTGTACTGAGGTTTTTAAAACCCTTTTCTTGTCAGCTTTACTTGGGTTTACCAAGCCTTGACTGGACAGACCAGTAAACAGTCCACAGGCACCGATCCTTCCGACCCCCAAACACAGGGTTGTCTTTATTGCCAAACCTACTTGTTGTTGGCCTATCTTGCCAGTGCCCTTTGCTAAAAGCATTTTCCTGTGCCATATGGAACAGTAGAGGCCGGCGCCTCATGCCTTGCTGCCTGCAAAGCAAAAAACTGCCTTTTAAATTTTTGAACCTTAAGAAATAAGCCAGATACTAACTCGACTAGCTGATGAGCTAAGCCCGCTGCTCTCACGCAGAGGAAGGCTTCGATGTGCGCTCAAATGACAAATTCCAAGTGGTAAGCAAGCAAGGGCGGTGGCCACATGGAAGTGGGTCTTCGTGGCGAACAGACCCCAAGGGGGCAGTGCTCTTCTTAGGTAACTTGAAGCTGTGTGCATGATGCTGGTGCTTGACCATGAACTGAAGTCTCATCCTTAAAATGTGTGTTGTACTTCACAATCCTGGACTGTTGCTTCAAGTAAACGATGTACAAATTTTGAAACATTGTGTCCTGTGTCATCTTTTTGGATTGTTTCAGTGTTCTACCTGTTCAGTTGCTTTTTTTTTTCTGTTACCCTAAATCCCGTTGCCCAAGGATTGATGAGTCATTCAAGTGCAACAAACTGGGCGCCTGGGTGGCTCAGATGGTTGGGCGTCTGCCTTCGGCTCGGGTCATGGTCCCAGGGTCCTGGGATCGAGTCCCGTATCGGGCTCCCTGCTCGGCGGGGAGTCTGCTTCTCCCTCTCCCTCTCCCACTGCTTGTTCTCTCTCTGTCTCTCTCGCAAATGAATAAATAAAAAATCTTAAAAAAAAAAAAGTGCAACAAACTAATGGAGGCCCAGACAAGTGGGCTTCTCTCTAAAGAAAATAGGTTTAAAGTTACAGCAGGTGTTCAGAACACCAAAATGATATCTGTGGTAATAAAATACATGAGTAGTATGGATAAATGATAGGCAAAATAATTATTAGCCAATATATTTTAGATTCTCCACCTACCCTTTGTGCTGGGCAGTAGTAACATGTAAGATTTTAAGTCCTCTTGTCTTGCAAGGTGTCTCTCAACAGTGAGAGGTTACAGAAGAGGACTCCAAAGGAAGGGGCATGAGGACCTGAGGAGACAGAAGATAAGGAAAAAGCTCTTTAGGTTCTAGGCAGAAAGTTCTAGATCAACATGCTATATTAACTGTCCAAATTGGGCATGGAGACTTGGCTTTTAGGTCTAGCTACACTACTAAACTGTGTTCTTTGGCTTGTCATTTAGGGACCACTTTCCTATCTTAAAAAGTGAGACCTCTGAGTTGATGAGCATAACCACTGGTTCATTTGAACTATTGGACATTTCTTTGGGAAGAATAAGGGTATTTATAGGTTCTGGGGGGTGTAAAGTCTTTCTCCCTTATGATGCAACGCATTTGGAAAATGAAGTCAGCAGCTTTATTACAGAATCTGTCCAATTTCACTAAAACAGGTTAGCCCTACAAATACTAGCCTGAGTTATGGTTTCTATTAGGACTTTTAGGAAGTAGGAACCCTGTCTGTGCCCTTCTCTCTAATGGTCGGGATCCTGGAAAAGAGATGTCCCTGATTTGTGTCACAACTTGTAACTTCAGTGTTTTGTTTTTTAATAAATTTTATGAAGAGAAGTGCCTAATCAAACTTCAAGTATTGTGAAGGAGGGACAGTGCTGTCAGTCATTATGATATTATCAGAACAGATTTTAAGAAATTCTATGTAAACATGTTTGCTCAGGGTGTTATATTTTCTACTTAGAAAGCTTAGGGTCTAGAAAGTGGAGTTGAATGATACTAAGATAATGTGGCAGAACAACCAGTATTTCATTGAGTTTGGACTTTACACTCAGGTTGTGTGATGTGAGTGGGAAGGGGGGGGACCGTGGAGGACTGTTGCCGATTATACCTCTTAAAGGCTTTTTAATTAGATCACTTTAGAACAAGACACTAGTCTCCCCTTTGTAATGCTCCTGTTAACATTGGTTTTGGAAGTACCGGGGTGTTCAGATGGGGAACTACAGGAAGCTGGGTCACTTAACCAAATCTGAGTTTACAGTTTGTAGGTAAATCTATTTGGATGTGGTCATAAAATGGCGTAAAGTCTACAAAGGAGCATCAACGAAACTTAGTGTTCCGCGTGTTCTAGACGGGGCTGTAACTGCCAATTCTAGAGCAGACGTCAGTTCCACAGAAAGAACATTGCCGATTACCTGAGCTGGGTGGAAATCGTCTCGGGGTGGAACTAGATGTTCAAAGCGGACGCTCCCAGCCCCAACTCTGGTTTAGGAGTTCGTCTCCTAGGAGCTCGACTCACGCGAGCCAGGGGTCTTCAACAGTCTTTCACTTCAAAGTTACTGGGCGCCTCCATGAGTCGGGCCCTGGGGCCTTTGGTCCGGGGTCCGGCGTCCGGCGTGTTCCTGCGTCCCGCCCCACAAGCAGGGAGGGCGGTGGCCCCGGGACTCGAGGTCGGGATTCTAGGGGTCGCGCCAGCCCCACAAGTTTAAGGAGCCCTGAGGCCTTCGCAGGATCTGGGGTCGTCCTCTGCGGAGTGGGGGAGGGGGAGCGGACGTGCACGCGGGCGCACTCTCAGGCCGCCTCGCGCCGCCGCCTTGGGAAGGCCGCGCGCTCCCGCAGGGCCGCGTTCCCGGGCGCCCCATGCAAATGAGACCCGGAGCGCCCTCCCACCCCGCGCCTCCGGAAGTTGCGGGCCGGGCGCCCGCTCTCCCCACCCCCACCCCCCGACCCTCGGCAACCTCGTCCTTCCCCTGCCCGGCGGCCGCAGCGATGGCGGCGGCGATGGCGGCGCGGCGCGCGCGCCCTGTGCGGGTGCTGGTGGACATGGACGGCGTGCTGGCCGACTTCGAGGCGGGCCTCCTGCGGGGCTTCCGCCGCCGCTTCCCTGGGGAACCGCACGTGACGCTGGAAGAGCGCCGCGGCTTCCTAGCCCGCGAGCAGTACCGAGCCCTGCGGCCGGACCTGGCGGTAGGTAGGGAGAGAGCGGGAGGGCAGCGCGGGGCGTGCGCGGGAGGGGAGCTCCTACCCTACAGTGACCCTGGGAGCAGAAGCCCCGACCCCACAGGGCGCCCGGAAGCCGGGCGTCCCCACCCACAGAGAGCCGGCGAGCCAAGTGCCCCGACCACACAGTGTACCCGGGAGCGGGAGCCTGGACCCCACGTTGTCGCCAGGGCCAAGTGCCCCGACCATACAATGTCCCCGGGAGCGGGAGCCCCGACCCCACAGAGAGCCGGGGAGCCAGGTGCCCCGACCACACAGTGTCTCCAGGAGCGGGAGCCTGGACCCCACATTGTCGCCAGGAGCGGGAGCCCCGACCCCACAGTGTCCCCGGAAGCAGGGAGCCCGACCGCACAGGGCTTCTAGGAATGGGAGCCCTCCCCTTGGGCAAGACTGCCTCTGCTCCGTTTCCAGAGACACCCCCTTTCTGTTTAACAGAATCCTCACTTCAGAATCCTTTGTTCACCCTGGACAAGAAAGTCTGGAAGAATGCTTCCCCCTATGTAAAATCCTTTCCCTGTGGCTCTGATTTGGGAACAGGTCCCCCAGGAATCTTACTTTGAGAGTCCTCCCTGGGGCTAGATCTGCTGCAGAAGCTGGGACAAGAACACGGTTTCTTTCAGGACAAAGTTGCCAGTGTGTATGAAGCCCCAGGCTTTTTCCTAGACTTGGAGCCTATCCCTGGAGCCTTGGAAGCCATGCAGGAGATGAACAACATGCAGGAGTGAGGAAGGGCAGAGAGGGAGGGGCGGTGGAGTAAGGGCCCGTACCACCCTAACTAACCCGTGCCCCTTCCACGCAGCACGGAGGTCTTCATCTGCTCCAGCCCTCTGCTGAAGTATGAACACTGTGTGGGTGAGAAGGTACGGTTACCCCAGTCCTTCATAGCAAACGGCTTCCTAAGTTCTGATGCTTAAAATAAACCAGCAGAACTTAAACACAGGAAGTGTGTGTGTGTGGGGGAAGGGGAGCAGCATCTCTCAAAGGCTGGAGACCCTATTCCCACCTATTTACTCACTGGCCCTACTGACAGACCTGTGTCCTCACTGCAGTACCGCTGGGTGGAGAATCACCTGGGGCCCCAGTTTGTGGAGCGCATTATCCTGACGAGGGACAAGACGATGGTCTTGGGGGACCTGCTCATTGATGACAAGGACACCATTCGAGGTTAGACCTGTTTTTCTGGCAACCTTCCAGGCATCTGGCCTGCTGGGATTAGGGAGAGGGAGTAAAATAACTAGATTACTGACTGCATCTCACTGCCTTTCTCCCATGCCCTGCCCCAGGCCAAGAGGAGACCCCAAGCTGGGAGCACATCTTGTTCACCTGCTGCCACAACCAGCACCTAGCCCTATGCCCAACAAGGAGACGGCTGCTCTCTTGGAGTGACAACTGGAGGGAGATCATAGAAAGCAAGCGGGGGGCCAGAATAGTGGATAGTAGCTGAAGGAAGGGAAGGCAGGCCAGCAGGGAACCCCAGCAGAGCTGAATGGCAGGTCAGTGTCGTGGAGGTGGCCCCCAGCACCGTGGAACAGGGAGACACGGTAACCTCCATTCTCAAAAGCCAGCCACCTGGAACCCAACAAGATGGCTGGCAAGGAAACATGGTGGGAAAATCACTCAGGAACCTTTTTAATAAAACACTTTGACTCACCACTCTTTAAAGGCCCTTTATTCAGGAAAGTAAAGGGCCAGGAGCCCTAGAAGGGGCAGTCGGAATACAGGCTGATAGGCTTTCTCCTCCCTCGTGTCCTTAGTCCAGTGGCTCCAGAACCTGCCCCACCTCCACATCTCAGACACCATCTCTCTTGCGTCTGCTTTTCCTTGGCCGTGTTAGAGGTCAACCTTGAGGGAGTGCAGAAGGGAGGCCAGGAAGCTCCCCATTGCTCCTGAACCTCAACTTTCCATGGGGATCCCATACTGCCTCCCCCGTGCTGACCAGTGTACACTGTGGACTCCAAGCCACACACTTCTGTCTCTGGTCCTGTCTCCCTTGAGCACCACTCTTGCACTCCTGAAGCCCTTTTGTCTGAGATTCACTTCTAGGGGCAGGGATACCCCCCTCACTAACCCAACCCTGACGGCAGAGGAGGACCAGGACTTTCAGGCTGGGGCCATGGGGTGGTGAGGGAAGACTACACAGCTTCAAGGGTTTATGCCTGTATTCTGACGTATCCTCACCCTCATGTCTGAAATGCCTGATGGCTACCTTAAGTCAGTGGGCTGTACCACTAAAGAGCAGGGGCACCTGTGTGGCTCAGTTGGTTGGGTGTCTGGCTCCTGGTTTCCGCTCTGGTCGTGATCTTGGGGTCGTGGGATAAGGCCCTGCGTCGGGCTCTCTGCTGGGTGCAGATTCTGACTGTCCCTCTCCCTCTGCTCCTCCCCACACTCTCATTCACTCTATCTCTAAATTTAAGAGGCGCGGGTACCTGGGTGGCTCAGTTGGTTAAGCGTCTGCCTTCAGCTCAGGTCATGATCCTGGAGTCCCAGAATCGAGTCCCGCATCGGGCTCCCTGTCTGCCTCTCCCTCTGACCTTCTTCCCTCTCATGCTCTCTACCATTCTCTCAATAAATAAATAAAAAAATCTTAAAAAAAAATAAATTTAAGAGGCATCTGGGTGGCTCAGTTGTTAAGTGCCGGCCTTCGGCTCAGGTCATGATCTTGGGGTCCTGGGATCGGCCCCGCATCGGGCTCCCTGCTCAGCGGGAAGCCTGCTTCTCCCTCTCCCACTGCTTGTGTTCCTGTTCTTGCTGTGTCTCTGTCAAATAAAATGTTTTAAAAAAATTAATTAAAAAAAAAACGGGATGCCTGGGTGGCTCAGTCAGTTAAGCGTCTGCCTTCTGCTCAAGTCATGATCCCAGGGTCCTAGGATTGAGTCCCACACTGGGCTCCCTGCTCAGCGGGGAGCCTGCTTCTCCTGCTGCCAGCCCCACCTGCTTGTGCGTCTCTCTGACAAATAAAATCTTAAAAAAAAAAAAAAGAGTAGAGACCACATCTTCGTCTTTGAAACGCCATGGTGTCTGGCAGATAGGCCTGTGTGGATAAACTGTGGGCCACAGAGTTCTTCAGGCCGGCATCAAGCACACCCAGCGCCCAGCCTGGGGAGCTGGCAGTGCAGGTACCCAGCCTCCGTAGCCCTGGAGTGGGCATGACACCTTCCCAGAGCCCTGAGCTGGCTTCTCATTTCTGTTCAAGATTATTTCAGATATTTCTGTTAAAGAATTCCTGTTTCCTCAAGCACAAGCAAGTCTAATCCCAGGCCCAGCTGTTCCTCATGAAAAGCCCCTTCTGTAAAGCCTCTGAATCTAGGGTCCCAGCTGCTTCTCACAGGAGGTTGAGAGCCTGGCAGTGGGGCGCTGGGGGTGGGGGCAGGAGGCAGGAGTTTGACCTTCAGCTGGTTGAGAGTGCCAACCTATGGAAATGGCATTGCCTTTGCTCTCCTCCGTGTGTCTCAAAGTCTGGCCTCTTCTCTCAATGCCCCTCACCACAGTGTAAATACCTGTCATGCTGAGAAAACTCACCTTTAAAAAAACTGAAAGGACACCTTTTGGGGAGAACATGCTCAGTGGGAACCAGGCTGCTCCTGCTCCCTGAGCCCCAACTAGGATTGTGGCCTCCTCTCTAACAGTCAGGGTATCATGGCTATGAGGTCTCCCTGGATCAGGGCTGCTGTGGGGCCTCAGTCCTTGGCAGTGGGATACCCAGGGCAGAGTGAGCCCTCCAGGTGCGGGCTTCTGCCACCTGGCTTGGGGAACAGAAGTCTTCCAGGAAGATCTGGGCCAGGTTCCGGAGCCTCGTGTTGGCCGAGAGAGAGAAGCGCAGCATGCACTGGACCACGGGCATGGCGGTCAGCTCAGGGTGGGAGCCAGAGCCTGGTGAGCTCAGGTACATGATCGTGGTGACAGCAGATAGCACGGTCTCCTCATTGGGACTGGACAGACAGTTGATGATGAGCGGGATGCCCCCTGTCTGCAGGATGTGCTCCTTGTTGGCCCTGTCTGGGCACAGGTTGCAGAGGCCTCCTGGGGAAGAACAGAGAGAGACTGAATGCCTCAGGCCTGCGTATCCTCCCACCTCCCCTCCCAGCTCCTCTCTGCCCAACTTTGTCCCAGGAACAAGGGATCCAAAGTCCATTCTGGTATCCATCCCTTCAAGGCTCCTGAAGGCCTGCCTGCCTGCCACAGCCTAGCCTTGAGGAAGTGGATACCAATCCCTTTCCGCCTTGGGTCAGCCAGTTCAATGGTTGATATGCTTTCCTTTTTTAAAGCAAAACCAACAAACTAAATTAAAAAAACCCCAAACAAAAAATAAAACCCATGATATATCACTTTACAGAATTAAAAAACAGGGGCACCTGGGCGGCTCAGTTGTTAAGCATCTGCCTTCGGCTCAGGTCATGATCTCAGGGTCCTGGGATCGAGCCCCTGCATTGGGCTCCCTGCTCGGTGGGAAGCCTGCTTCTCCCTCTCCCAATCCCCCTGCTTGTGTTCACTCTCTCACTGTCTCTATCAAATTAATATATAAAATCTTAAAAAAAAATTAAAAAGCACAGGTCAGGTGATGATTTCACAGATGGATACATGCCAAAACTTATCAAACTGCATCCTTGAAAGATGTACAGCTTATTATATATCAATTATCTCAATAAAGCTGTTAGAAATACTAGAAGCCAAATTATAAACCAACTTAATCCTACCATCCAACATTTGCTTTTCCTTCAACTTCAAAATATGTGAATATATATAAACATTTAATAAAAATGTGATCCTTTCCTGTTTTGTAAGCCAGCTTTTTTCACTCAGCAATAGATTGTGAACATCTTTCCATGCCAACATATCTACAACCATGGCATCATTTAATGGCTGTGCAGAGCACTACCTTATGGATGCAGTGTAATTTATTAAAATGCTAGAGCAAGGGGGGACAGGTGGGGGCTGGCAGGGACATGCCTCTTCCAGGGGCAGGAGTCTGCCCGGGGCTGGCACTACCACCCCCTCCCTCACAGTACCTGGGTCAGTTTGAGTCCTGCTGTAGGGAAATATATATGTATTTTTTTAAGTAAATGGTGGTGGTGGTGGTTTAAGATTTTTTATTTATTTGACAGAGAGACAGCAAGAGAGGGAACACAAGCAGGGGGAGTGGGAGAGGGAGAAGCAGGCTTCCTGCTGAGCAGAGAGCCCAATGCGGGGCCCGATCCCAAGACCCTGGGATCATGACCCGAGCCGAAGGCAGATGCTTAATGACTGAGCCACCCAGGCGCCCCTATAGGGAAATATTTTTAAAAGTTTTATCCATTCAGCCTCTACAGACTTGGCCCTGTGTTCAGAATAAAATCCAAATTCCCCTTTGAGGTCTTCATGGCCCTGCACCATCTGGTCTGGTCCTTCTCTGTCACTCACAGCCTCAGCCCTTGGACCTTCTGGCCCCAGATTTTCACATGCTGCCTCCCTTTTGCTGGTAATCAACACCTCACTGCTCCCTCACCAGTAAGGTTCCCCTGGAATTCCCCACTCCCCACCACGTCCAAGGCACTCCCTTCATCCCTCCATGCCATTTTCTTCATATGCTTAGAACCCCAAGAAACCACCCTGGCAGATTTGTTTTCTTGCTCACTAGCTGCCAAGCCCCACAAGAAGGCAGGTGCCTTGAGGTCAAGACCGTGGCCGTCTTACTCCCACAAATACCTGCTGAAAGGGCTGTAGAGCAGTGAGCTGGGGAAAGGGTTGAACTGCAGAGGCCTGGGGTCTGGATGGTCGGCTCCCTGAGATGTCGCCTACCATGGGCTTCTGCAGTTCTGGGATCCGAGTTGTGGCTCAGAACACCTCTGAGGGAAGGAAGGAGCTGAGGGGCACTCCTGGAATCACGAGGCAAGGGAGATAAGGCACTCTGACAGAGAGGTCCCTCCCTATGGGACATGCAGAGGGCTGACCTGCTGATACCACCTCAGCACCCATTCACCCCCGTGGAGTCCTCAGCACATCCTGGGGCATCCTGTTGACTGCCTTCCCTACTTGCTCTGTCCCTGTCACTGGACATCATAAGGCAAGGCCCTGCTCTCTGGTTTACCTCCGTATCCCAGGCACCTGCAACTGTGGACACTCACTGGACACATGCTGGGAACATGACTGAACTCCAGGAAGTGTTACGATCACCCCGATTTTAGTGGAAGTTGAGGCGGTTGAGTAAGTCGCCCAAAGTCCCAGAAGATGGGAAACCCTATGCCACAGTCATGGGACAGGTGGCAATGCTCTGGCAGGCCTCTGGCTTCCCGGACACATCTACACCATCTCTTCTGAACTACTGGCAGTGAACCAGCCTTCTACCCACACTGTAGGTTAATTGACTGGGGGCAAGGGATGGGATTTATCTCTGCTGTAAAGTATGATAAGATGAAGTCTGAGTCACCCTTGGCCAGTGAGTCATCATCACACAGGGATGTGCCTGGGCGGAACACAGTCACCCCGGCCAGGGGATAATCAGATGGCATCTGCTGGAGGGTGAAGGCAGGAGGAGGCTTCCAGACAGCTGGCCCCATCTGCTCCCCATTTGTAGACCTAGGAAGTCTCCAAGGATGGATCCTGTGCCTGCCACAGCTTGCCACTGCCTGGGACCCAACCACAGGGCATTCTTGAAGCCCCTCTGCCTTGCTGGCAGTGATCCTCAGAGTGGGAAACAAGAGTGAGTGCTTGGGGGCGCCTGGGTGGCTCGGTTGGTTGGGCGACTGCCTTCGGCTCAGGTCATGATCCCGGAGTCCTGGGATCGGGTCCCACATCGGGCTCCCTGCTCGGCGGGGAGTCTGCTTCTCTCTCTGACTCTACCCCCTCTTGGGCTCTCTCTCTTCTCTCACAAATAAATAAAATCTTAAAAAAGAAAAAAAAAAAAGGAGTGCTTGGAAAGAGAAGGGCTTCAGGGGGTAAGGAGCCTGAATGGAAGCACCCAAAATGGATCCAGGGGACCCATGAGAAGCTGAGGCCACAGCTATTGAGCTCTCCCTCCCGAGTCTACCTCTGTGAGCTTGCCCTGAAGAACGAAGGAGGGTTGTAGGAAAAGAGGAACACAAAAACTGGAAGATTCCTAAATAATGTCCAGCAAGAGCAAGCTGGTTGAATGCAGTTCAGTATGTCTGCATGATGGGAAATTCTATAATTCTTAAAAATCATGTTTTCAAAGAGTATTTAATATGGGAAAATGCTTGTAACATAAGGTTGAGGAGGAAAAAACGTCATCAAATTGTATATACAATAAAACTGCAATGAACAAGTCCGGCAAGATGTCACCTCTTCTGAGAGCCTTCCGCAACTGCCCTCACAGCCCCTTTCCCCAGCGCCCTCTCCTCACCTCTTTTGTGTCTCCTCTTCACACCTAAGGTACTTGTCAGGTTAACAGAAGGTCCCCCACTAAACCACAACTCCCACCAGAGGGGGAGTTTGTCTTATCTCAATTGGTCACCTCAGCCTGGCATACAGCAGATGCTCAATAAATGGACAGACAAGTTAACAAAAGACAAGCTGGAAACACAGCAAAAGGTTAATAATGCTTATCTCTGTGCAGCAGGGTTAGGAGTCATTTTTATTTCCTTTATTTTCTAAGTTTACCTCCACAAAAATGTTGTTTGTTCTGTTTTGTTTTTTTGTTTTCTGTGGAGAGGAAACAGGGTAGAAAATGTTATTTTTAGGGACACCTGGGTGGCTCAGTTGGTTGGGCGGCTGCCTTCGGCCCGGGTCATGATTTAAAAAAAAAAAAAAAAAAGTGTTATTTTTATAAGCAGGAAAAGGATTTTTTTATTTTATTTTTTTATTTTTATTTTTTAAAGATTTTATTTATTTGACAGAGAGAGACACGGTGAGAGAGGGAACACAAGCAGCTGGTAGTGGAAGAGGGAGAAGAAGCAGGCTTCCTGCTGAGCAGGGAGCCCGAAGTGGGGCTCGAGGATCAGGACCTGAGCTGAAGGCAGACACTTAATGACTGAGCCACCCAGGTGCCCCAGGAAAAGGATTTTTTTTAAAGACTCCCTCATTTCAGAGCAAGTGAGGGAGAGAGTGTGTGCGCATGAGCAGAAGAAGGTGCAAAGGGAGAGGAAGAGAGAGAACTTCAAGCCGACTCCGCTTAGCATGGAGCCAGACCCGGGGCTCAATCCCAAAACCCTGAGATCATGACCTGAGCCAAAATCAAGAGCCGGCCACTTAAGTGACTGAGCCACCTAGGTGCCCCGGAAAAGGGTCTTCTTTTTTAAAGCTAAATTTCATTTAAGATTGACTGATTGATTGATTTGACAGAGAGAGAGAGAGAGAGTACAAGCAGGGGGAGCGGCAGGCAGAGGGAGAGGGAGAAGCAGGCTCCCCACTGAGCAGGAAGCCCAAGATCCTGAGATCATGACCGGAGCCAAAGGCACCGGTCGCTCAACCAACTAAGCCACCCAGGCACCCCTAAAGCTAAATTTCATTTAGAAAGTGAAACTCACCAAATGACACCATTAAAAAAAGTAAAAAGACAAAAGGAGAAAATATTAATAACCTATCTGAAAGAGGACTCCTTCCAGAATACATAAAGTATATTAATACCTATCAAGAAAAGATCAACACGACGTAAAAACGAGCAAAGACTTGAATAAACTCTGCACAATAAGAGCGATGCATACAGTGTGTTTGTCACTAATTCTCAGAGAAATGAAAATTCAAACCATGAGCTGATGTCTCCACACACCTACTGTAATGGCTAAAACAGACTAACAAGATTAAGCGCTGGTGGGAGGTGGGGCTGCTGGAATTCTCCTGTGCCGGTGGCCAGGAGTCTCACATGCTATCATTGGGTTGGAAAAGTACATGGCTGCTTCTACTAAAGTCAAACATACACCTACCCTATGACTCAGCAATTCTACTTCTACCTGAACCTGAGAGAAAGGAGTACCTATGTACGCGAGAACACTTGCGTACAAACATTCATAACAGCTCTATTCATAAAGGCTCTACACTAGAAATAAATCTCCATTACCAGGTGAACCAGATGAAAAAATTGTGGCACA